ATCACGAAATGTTGCAGTTTTATCAAAGTAAAGAAATAATTTTGGATTTGGAGTGCAGAGGAATTACATTTCCTATGTTCCATTATCTTCTTTATGCATTTTTATCTGTTTATGAAATGGAAATCAAGGTTTTTGTTTGAGAATATTTACATTCCTTAGTACTGTATGAACCCCATTTTTCTCCCAAATGACGATATGACTTGTCGGCATAATTTGGTGAATGCCTAATACCCAAATACTGAATACCTTAATAGTTGACCTGACACAATTTTATTGTTTCCTAAAATTATGATTGGTCTGTTGGTATGACCCAAACAAACAAAAAGAAGTGTCAGAAAATTTATTCAACAATTAAAGTTGTTATGACTTGACATGACCTCTGGGCATTGCCCAAAGGGAGGGCTGATGTGCCTGCAGCAAACATTATCATTACCTCAGAGTGCATAAGATAATGCTGAAACTTAGGAGCACCAAGTGGTGCTTTCTGCAATCTTTTTCTTTTATTTTTGGCTTTACCTTCAAGTCTGAAGATTATTTCTTGTACTGACAACTGCACCTTTTGGTCCTCTACAAGAGTATCTTCAACCTACCTTAGCTTAATGCATCCTCACTGTAAAGATTAACTGATAAAGAAGCAGACTTTTACAATGTGATCAAGTCTCAACTTCACATCACAAAATTTATTCAACAATCTAAGTTGCCAGAGACTAATACCCCACAAAGATTATTTACCCCCTGCAAGATCTGGCCCGCGTCTCCAATTTTTAACTTATTCTACTAAATTATATCTATATAGGTCTGGTTATAGTTTAAAATTTAGCCTAGAATAGCTCACACAAAGAGAGAGAGGTAGATAGAAAGATAGATAGATAAATAGATAGATGTTTTGTATTAGATATATCTCCACATAAATGAATTCCTCTCCCTTTTCCAGGTGTTCTCACTAGCACAGAGGACTTTGAGAGTAGTGAGGATGTTTACGATGCCATCGGAAGCCTCCTAGCAGATGCTGTTGGAGTTGAAAGGGAGGATGAAATAAGGTATATGTCCTTATTATAAGTTGAAATGTAGGGCAGGTGGGAGGGTTAAATGGAAGGAGATAAGTTTGTGCTATAGTTGATAGTTGAAGGAAAATTATATACTCCCATTCTGTGTGGTTAAATTAAGACTCGAGGTCTTTACTCTGCAGTCATTGACCACATAACCTATTACTGTAGTATGTCATTTTTTTTTTTTTTTTTCTTTCTTTCTTTCTTTCTCCCCCCCCCCCCCCCCAAGTAGTTGAGAAAATGTCATGCTTTATGATGCAGTATAAGTTATGTACAGTTCTTTAAAATAAACTCCTGTTTATGAATATTATAATGACTGGGATTTTTAACAGCTCTGAGGGCCCTTATTCCTTGACAAGAAATGTAATTAGGTTATATAGTAAATCAACATCAGGGTTCCAGGCTTTGTCCCCTGGTTAGGTAACATAAAGTTAGAATGTATTTTACAAATACCACAGGGAATGATGGTAGGTGAGACATATAGCAAAGTCTTTACCCGTAGACTTTACCAAAGGATGGGTTGGATGCTGATAGGCATTTTCAGAAGTTTGTGCTTCAGTCTGTAGACTTTCAGTGATAGTTGGCATATCTATAGAGTTTGACGGGCCAGTTTTGAACAGTTTTTGTTGCGTTACTATGTATTTGTTTTCCACATTCGTTCGAGTTTGGCGTGTTTTACTACACAATTTCCCTACTTTACTTCATGCCATCCTCTGCTATCAAGACTATCATATCAAAATTGTTGGCTGCATTAGATATTGCTCCCAGAAGAATTGATATATCTACAGAATGACTAAAATCTTCACAAAATATTGTATTTTTACCTGAAAAATAGGCGCAATTGTCCTAGAAAGGATTGCCAGCGTAATTCGCAGAAATGCATGTTGCAAGTTTCTTCTGTGTGTATTTTTGTCTCTTTCATTTCTCTTTCTCTTTCTCTATCATCGTCTTCTTTTATACATTCTCAAAGAAGGTAAGAATAACCTAAACACTTTTCTCATATACAGGAAATTATGTGACCAGGTGATGTCAACACTGACAGTATCTAATGGCACGATAGAACGGAAGATCTTAGATGCTCCCGTGCAGTTGGCAGAAATGGCTGCCAACATGGAGGTGGAAGACGAGGCCATCAAGTCAGTCTGGTCAAGAGAACGGGATGACACATTGGTTGGTTACAAGATTTTTTTTTTTTTTTTTTTTTTTTTTTTTTTTTATCTTATCTCGTCATATTTATTTTTCCTTGTAAAGATTTCTTTGAGGCCCTGTTTTAAATGGGAGTGTGCTTATCGAAGCATGTTTGTGCTTTTGGGTAGTCTTCTTTCCCTTGCTTTTGCTTTCATTTTTCCCAGTAGCTAACAAACACTTATTTCACAAATCTCGATTTCATTCTCAATAGTTAATGTGCAGGGCGCTGATAAGCACATATATTGCATATGTAGAAAAGGTATGAATGAGAATGAATATCTTCACAATTAAAGAGATATATTTGAAACCGGTTAAATACATTGCTTGTATTATGAAGATATTCATTCTCATTCATACCTTTTCTACATCTGTCAACATGAATTTGGTTCATCACATTTTTATCAGAAGCAAGTTAGATCCTTTCTGGTAGTAATTACCTTCGAATCGGCATCCAGGTTCTGTTGTATGTATGTCATTCACACATTATCAGGGCTAATGAAGACTCAATCTTTCCAGAAAGTTGACCAGAAGAAATTAGACAAAGCCGAAGCCAAATTAAAAGAAAAGAAGGAAAAGAGAGTAAATGCGGATAAGAAGGAACAAGCTCCTATTATTATGGAAATGGCAACAGCATCACAGGTGAGGTCGTTGTTACAGATTTCTTTAGTCAGGTCTGATTAAACTAAATCATGTTTGATTCTGTGTATTTATGAATTACTTGATCATTACTTTGTCATTATGTTCTTGGCACTGACATGTCACTCAGGTTTGAGATACTTTAAATTCCTCAGATAGTCAAAAAGTAGACCCATTGCCTTGTTTTTAGGAAAAGTTTTTTTTTTTTTTTATGCTAGTATTAGTGCTGTTATTATTTTTATTGGCATTCTGTTAACCCACTAACGACGGGTGTCCCACATACGAGACACCCGAGAAAATAAACTTTGGCGGGCGTCCCTCTAGTGTGACGCTGTATCGGGGCGCGTGCTTCGATGCATCAGTGGGCCGCAGCCGGCCGGCGGACAGAGTCTGGGGCAGCTCTGCCCGCCGATTTTGTAGCCGCCCGGAATCTTTTATTTTTGGCATCAAAAAAATACCAGCATTAATGGGTTAATGTCATTAATTATGGGAAACATTAAGATTTATTATAATTGTGATAATGAGGATTCTCACAGTGAAAGTATTGGGCAATGAAGAAAATTTCATTTTGCAGGTCGTAAGCAAAAAAGACAGAGCACTGGATGCCAAGGGTAGCTGTAATACAAAGGACATCAGAATAGAAAGTTTCGATGTAGCATATGGAGAAAAGTATGTATTTGCTGTTGCAGTGTGTGGATAGATGTATGATTTAGAGATGTAGTTTAATTCTAGATGAAGCCTTTAGTCTTTTTCTTTTTCTTTCTTTCTTTTTCTTTCTTCCTTTTATTCTTTTATTCTTTCAAGCAGATGTTGAAATACAATTGTCTTTGCTTCAGAATCTTTGGTAATAGGTATTGAAACCTCCTTTTTTTTCTTCACATATGTTAATGTTTGATCATCTAGAATCTATACTATAGTTACATTGTGATTTAGAGAGTTTTTAATTACTATTACATATAAGCAGTCCTACCCTTCCTCTTTATATAGGGTTGGTTATTCATAATGTGTTTTGTGTTATTGCAGAGTGCTTATTCAAAATGCAACAATTTCTTTAGCCTTCGGAAGACGATATGCGCTAGTGGGCAGGAACGGTCTTGGGAAAACTACTCTTTTACGGATGATTGCAAGGTAAGTCATCTTTGATTTAATCTTATATCATATATTTGTACTTAGGTGTAAATTCATTTCAGAGGCTGATTTTTGCGTGTGTGATCATTTGAATCACTAACAAGCTTTGTCACACTGGTACCTCATTTTTTCTTTATAATTTACTATACATACATTAGCATTCATACTTGTTTTTCTCATTGTCCTTAAAATGTTTGCAGTTTATTTAATCTGTTCCTTATTCCAGTGATATCAGCACATCCAGTTTTCTCCGTATTCTTCTCTTTTCTTCAGTCTTATTTCTTCTTTTTTTGTTCTGATAAGATCACCCCTTATTCTTACTTTCACACAGTCGGACTTTGCGCATTCCTGGGCACATCTCGGTGTTACATGTTGAACAAGAAGTGGTTGGTGATGACACCTTAGCAATAGAGAGTGTACTTGAATGCGATACGCAACGTAAGAATCTTCTAGACAAAGAGAAAGAACTGCAGACGAGAATAGCAAATGGGTAAGATATTTTTTGTCTTTTTTTTTCTATCTCTCTCTTTCTCATTCTTCCTCTTCTTCTCCTTTTCTTCTTTCTTTTTTTTTCTTTTTCTTCCTATTCTTTTTCTTCTTCTACTACTACTATTACTACTTTTATTCATGGTCTTTATCATGATTTTCTTCTCCTTTTTGTCTTACCATCTTTTTTGCAATTCTTTTTTCTTCTTCTTTGTCTTCTTCTTCAACCTCCTCCTCCTCGTCATTGTTATTGAAGTTCTTTTCCTGTTTTTCTTCTCCCTTTTATCTGTTGCAGCTACTGATGATTCATCAAGTTAACAGAATATTTTAAACTTACCACTGGATTACCATATTTATTTTAATAGGAAGTTTCTCTTTTGTGATTGAGAGTAACGACAATATGTGTAAGCCTTTGATTTTTAATCCTGTAGGGGTCTTATTTTTTTACATTGCTGAATGAAGCTGATATTTCCAGTAGATAAAGGTAAAACAAGGCTTTAGCCATACTATTGAGGGGCTGTAGCTCCACAACAGCCGCAACATCCCAGCTTTAGCGCTCAGTTCATTATGGCAAGATTAACTGTAGACTGTCAATAAAAGGTTAAGAAACAAACCTGAAACATCCTTTTCATTGCCAATTCTCTTCATCGTCACTCTTTAGGGACTCCGACGATACCCTGTCCTCCCAGCTGTCAGAAGTATATGCTGAGCTACAGGCCATTGAGGCAGACAAGGCCCCAGCCAAGGCCAGTGTCATCCTGAATGGTTTGGGTTTCAACCCTGAAATGCAGACGAGGAAGACCCGTGAATTCTCTGGCGGTTGGAGAATGAGGATTGCTCTCGCTAGGGCACTGTTCACGCAGTAAGTATTTTCAGAGGATGTTAGAGGACAAGAAATAATTAGTAGATGTTATTGGAAGACAAAGAGTTGATTATTGGACATTGTTGGAGAACAGTGATTAATCATCGGACATTATTGGAGGACTAGAATTCATTATTGGAAGATATGAAATGTTTGGGGAATTGCTTTGAATTGGTCATGTTTCAAACCACTTTTATTCCATTCTGTCATTCTTTCTTTGTCTTTTTATGGAAGCACAAGAAATATTCTAATATTCTGATCTGAAATTAAGGTATATTTTTTATGAATTGTGCAGATTTTCAGCTAATGTGCTACTTTACTTGAAACTGTTATGTATTTACTCTAATGCTCAATATTTTTTTCTTGGAGCTCATTCGCATTGCTTATCTCAACAGACCAGACCTGCTGTTGCTTGATGAGCCGACAAACATGTTGGATATGAAGGCCATTATATGGCTTGAGAACTACTTATTAACCTGGCCGACAACGCTCCTTGTAGTCTCCCACGACAGGCATTTCTTAGATATGGTTCCGACAGATGTTTTACACCTCCACTCGCAGGCCATAGACAGTTATAAGTAAGTATAAATACAATGTTCTGTCTTATCTCCTTTCTCACAAGCCGGTTCTTCTCTACTGATGACCCTTTGATAGTCCTTCTCGTAGTCCTTAAAGTATTTATCATGCTTATGTTCTTTCCTTTTATTCTTTAATCATATGTAATATTTCTTTCTTTCCTTCATGCTATTCCTTGTATTTCATAATATATGTGTGTGTGTTTGTTTGTGTTTGTTTATGTAGTTAGTTAGTTGTGCATGTATATGTGGGGAGAGATTATCATAAATTCAATCTTTATTAGCTTTATTTTATTTTCATCGAAGATGATTTATTTTATTTTATTGGTATCCTTATTTATCCTCATCTCTTTCCTCCTTCCCAGGGGCAATTATGAGAACTTTTCCACGACAAGGGAGGAGAGACACAAGAACATGCAGAGAGAGTACGAAGCCCAGTCGCAGTTCCGGCAGCACGTCCAGGAGTTCATTGACAAGTTCCGATACAATGCCAAGCGAGCATCACTGGTCCAGTCAAAAATTAAAATGCTGGAAAAGCTGTAAGTGTTTGTCTGATCGGTTCTTTTGTGTTGAATATGTTTATTTGAAAAGATTTTTTAAAAAATCTGCATATCATAAAGAAATTTGAGATAGTGTGGTTTTTCATTTCGGACACGTGGTTATGGAAAGGGCTTATTCTATTATATAGAAATATATAAAAAATTTCATAATGTGCAGTAATTCTTTATAAGTCACTTTTAAAGAGGAGTTCTGTGATTTAAAAGAATATGTTTATACTTGAACTCTGTGCCATTGAGCTGTTTTTGTAATTATTTCCTTTTTCTTTATCCAATTTTTTTCATTATTTCCTTCTTTCTTATATTTAGCCCAGAACTGAAGCCTGTAGAAAAAGAAACAATTGTAACGCTAAGGTTCCCAGAGGCAGAGAAGCTGAATTCCCCAATCCTGCAATTAGACGAAGTAGAGTTCTCTTACAAAAAGGACGTAGTCATTTTCAGCAAAGTCAACCTTTCCGCTGCCATGGATTCGAGAATATGTATTGTGAGTAGAGAGTTTTTGGGTTAAAAAGAGTGTATAGGTTTCTGATTTGCAATTTGGAATGCAGTTTCTTTTAATATAATCTGTTACTTCTATTTAATGATGATATAAATATCTTGAGTTACTTTTGCATAGTCAAGAATGTTAATAAGGGGTGCAATTACTATATTAAGGGTGGTATTGGTATGTGTAAAGCCTTATTGGTGTGGTCTTTTTTATACCTGGGAAGCTAAAATATGTTCTGTGTTCTATATCATGTAATACCTGTAAAACCAAAGATTAATGTATTCATAGTTAATGTAGATGATTATGCCAAAATACACTGAATGATAGACCTTCATGAAATAAAGTTAGAATATAAAGATTGATGTGAAAATTATATAATTGTTTGGAAAATGATAACCAGAATAGTTATATGTAAATTACAAGATTATTGCCAAGATTATTATGCATTTCCAACACTCTTTTTTCTGTCTGCATATCTATTTCAATGTGATCTTTTCCAGGTTGGTGAAAATGGTACAGGAAAAACAACTTT